ACTGCTAACACCACCGTCTCCTTCCAAATTCTTACCCATTCGCTGTTTATGGTCACTCCCCTAGGTATAATATTTTTTTTCGAAATAGTGTCATTAATAAATCTACCTCCATGGAGGAGAGGGTTCTTTTGAGAAGCTGACAGTTACTCACGCAGTCATTAATTTTCTCTGTGCACTTGATAGTGACTACAAGAACTATGAACCCGTAAATTACCATCTTCTGACTTTTGGAAATGAGAACCACGTTTCAAGCTCTCAAAGTGCGGAAACTGTACATCGCAGTGAACTCCATGAGATAACCTTGTGTCGCCTTGACGTGGTTAATGGGAGTGTACACTTTATTAAGCCGATAAGTTCACGTCGCAATGAAAACGTTCACAATTCAAGTTAATTGGTACTTCGTGCCGAGCAGCGAACAGCCATTTTGGCGCCGCAGGTCGACACAACAGCGCGCTTCCAAAACGACTGAATCATTTCCATAAATTTCTCCATTGCCAAATTAGGATTCGGTCCTACGAGCAGACAAGCGGACGGACAGAACAACTGCAGGATTGCGCACATGCGTAATCGCGTTGTGTGGCGTTGATATTCGTCCGAATGCGTGAGTCCACGACGAGAGCTGAGAAGGAGCCGCTCTGTATCCGGACAGAGCCGGAAAAGGATAAAAAATACATTTCGAGATAACAGCTCTTTATTCCCTCAGGACACAGAAGCAACATCATCCAGGCTCAATATTATGCGCATAAAAATGCGACCGCCAAACAAGGCTCGAGATCGTACAAGCAGCAGAAATGAACGGGATCGCAAAACGCCGGAATCCTTTTCCCCGGAGCTTTCCGTGGAATAATTTTACTTTTTCCTTCAAATCGCTGCATAAAAAGTCTTCTCTTCTGTCCAAATGAAAACCTTCGACGGCAACCCGAAATAAATCACCACCAATCGCCGCTGATGTTCAGGTCAGAAACAAAGGACATTCGAACTGCGTTGGTCGCGAGCCGTCCTCTTCGAAAGGCTGTGGACCCGGACCCCAGGTTTCCGACGTTTCGTTGACGTCCGGTCCAGACTGGCTTTGGTTGTGGCAGTGGAAGGACACACGTGCATGACGTAATCTGGATTCTTGCATTACTTACGACGAACGACAAGTCATTACGTGATATTGGTTGACGGAGCCAGCGACAGATTGCAGCACGAATGAT